AGGTCGCAGCCGGCGGGCGGCCGCCGCGGTCCCGGAGGAGCGCCCGCGTCGCTGAGCGACAGCGCCGGGGAGGCCCAGCTCCCGGGTGCGAACGAGGTCTCCCGGGTCGGCGTGCACCGAGGACCCAGGCACCAGCACATTCGGTGTCACGGCCGCGCACAGCCGACCTGGGCACGGGTACCCGAGCCCAGAGCGCGGGTGGCTAGGGAGACACACACACAGCCTCAGCGAGGCAGTCACACCCTGAATGTCACACACAGCCTCCCCCTCCCAAGCACGTCCTCTTAGGCTACTGTCCTTAGTTTCCCGGGTATGCTCCCCGACTTCGGCTCTTGGCCTGGGCTCTAGGAGTCCCCCAACCCCACCCCAGCCCTTTTGCCCCACCCCTGCCAGGGCGGGGCGCTGTGCCCGGCCTCCGAGTCACTGACAGGCGTCCCTCACCCACAGTCGGGCCAGTGGAGGCAATCCCCAGTGTGCCGGGAGAACCCCGCTCTACCTGCCGTCTGAGCTGGGGGCCCCACCCGTTACCCACTGCGCCCGCCCACCTCTGGGCCCCGAGCCAGGGGCTGTGCCATGGCGGGGGTGGGGGAGAGGAGGGAAAGGGGACTGTCCGAAGCACAGCGCGAAGCTGCGGAACCAAGACACAGGCTGCAGAAGCGCGGCGAGCTGACTGCAGCAGTCCCTGGCTGGAATCCGTCTTGGCGCCCAGAGCGATGCTGTAATGGGGGGGGAGGGGGCCGCGTGGGGAAGCCGCAGGAGGAGGGGCTGAGGAGGTGGGGGAAGGGCGGGCTCTGGATCCTGACTTCCCCGGTGGGTGCGGTGCGAGGGCACGCTGCCCCGGGGAGCTCTAAGTTGGGGTAGAGGGCGATCTACATCCTCCGCCTTGTCTGGTACTGAAAACTTGAGGTGTGGGCTTGGGAGGCGTGAGAGACCGTCCACCACCCTAGAGACAGACCTTGGGGGGCTGTTTTGAGTCAATGTCCCCCAGCCACCGACTCCTCTCGCCGTGTATCTCTTGGGGGGTCACTGGCTTTCTCCTCCGTGAGTAACCGGGCAAACTGAGGCACGAAAAGTAGAAGTCACCGGCCCTAAGGAGCCAGAATCTGGAGCCAAGCCCACACCCATTCCCCTGGGAGATGCTTTAAGGTGCCACACTACGTAAATGACATAAAGGGGCCTGGAGAGCCCTTCTCCCGTGGGAAACCGAGCAGTCGAGTGGAAGACGAACAGACTGGCCAACTAGCTCTTGCCGCCCACGAGACCTCTTCATTGTCCCTTCAATCGTGTGCTGAGACTGCAGACAATTCATGCCCAGCGTTCATTCAGCCAAGAGCAGATGTCAGGGGAAGTAAGATAGAAAGTTGGTCCAGGAACACTTTGTAGAACTGAGAGAAATGTCTCATTTCCCGTGGAGCCTAAGAGCAGCCATCATGTCGGATGCTAAAAGGTACCTCCATGCTCTGTCAGTTCTAAGATGTATTTTGTAAACCCGAGGGCATCTTAGGATGAACAGGGACATTTAGTATACAGTTTCTCTTCTTTTTTGTTAAAGCTGTTGTCAAAGAACTGTGTTTTAAAATCGAGGCTCTAGGGGCTGCTGAGATGGCTCAGCAGGTAAAGGTGTCTGATGACTGAGCTGGATCCCCAAGACCCGCCTGGTAGGAGAGAATGACTTTCCCAAGTTGTCCCCTGACCTCCACATGGTGGCACCTGTGTGCACCATCTCCCACCCTCATGCACACTAAATACATTTTTAAAGTTTAAATTTTTCAAACAAAAAATAATAAAATAAGAACATGATGGAGTTTTCATGTGTTCCTTCAACAGCTATTTACTAACTGCATCTGGCACCTTGCTACTGTCCTGACACTTACTGGTTAATCAGACAGGTTTACTTCAGGTAGAGAACACCCATCTCCAGTCACCAGTGAGGACGGTGGCTCTTTAAACCAGTAATAACCCCCAAGTCTCCAAGCCAGCGTCCTGGGAACCGGACCTGTGCAGCCATTCGGAGCTCCACACACAAAAGGACCTCACTCTTACTCGGCTGTCGCTGTCTTCAAATTGAGTGTGTGAGGACGTGTGTATGGGTGTGCTCATGCACGTGTGTGTGCACACACACACGAACGTAGAGGCCAGAGGACAATCTCTGGTGTTCTTCTCCAGACACTATCCACTTTTATTTATTTATTTATTTATTTGTTTGTTTGTTTGTTTGTTTGTTTGTTTACTGAGGGAGAAGTGTCTCTCACTGGCCTGGTGTTCAACAAGTAGGTTTGGCTGCCTGGCCAGTGAACCCCAGGGATCCATCTGCTTCTGCCACGTCATACTTGGAATTACATGCACTCACCACCATGGCTAGTTTTGTTATTAGATTTTTATTTTGTTTGTTTTGTTTTTTTTTTACATGGGTTCTGGGGACCAACTCGGTAAAGCAAGCATTTAACCAACTGAGCTATCTTCCCAGACCACCTTGAAAATTTAAATAATTTTTAACAAGGGTCTTTACACTCTGTAAATTATGACTCCTATATTAGAAATTCCATGCCTAACAGAG